GAGGGTTCTAATCAACTAATCAAGGTCACAGAGCTGAGCTTGTTAACTTGCCCTTAGCATTTTTTAGGGAAGCAAGGCAGTGCAAAGAAAAGCAGCTCAGGAAGAGATGGCTTGCTTAAGAAATCTCTCCACCCTGTGAGGGGGCAAAAAAAGGGAAAAATACAGGTCAGGCACAGGAGACTGTATGAGAGAACTTTATCTGAATGAGACAGTAGCAATGAGCGAGCTTCCCAGCATCTCTTTCTCTCAGTCACCTAGTTCAATTAGTGACTGTGTCACTTAGTGACCATTTTGTTGGAACCAATTGCAGTCACTAAATGAGGACTACCTGTACATGATAATTTAAAAAGAATGACATTACGGAAGTAGCAAAAGAAAAGGAAGATTGTATATGGAGAGAGAGAGAGAGAGAGAGTGTGTGTGTGTGTGTCTTATATTTGAATATTATATATCCACATGGATTATATCTCGCTACGGTTCTATCACCTCTGTGGAAGGGGCAGGTCTCCTATGGATTGCATAAATATATTTGCATTGATTTAAATAGAAACAAAATCTGTAAGAGATCATGCAGTATTAAGTAGTCTACTGAATGTTTGGGATAAATACAAGAAAAACATAAGTCTGGATTTCCCCTCCCCTTGCCTTGTTATTAAATGCTTATTTTCATGAAAATACTAAGACATTTGCTCAATGGAAAGTCAATGATCTTTTGAGATTGCAGACTTTGTTGTTAAAGAGGACAAAGATAAAATCTCTTGAATCTCTCACCACACAGTGTTCCACTTCATTTGATTGGTTCCATTACATCCAAACAACTATTGCAGCAATAAAAGAACTACAGAAAGAAGGGGGAATACTAGGAGGTTTGACTGGATTTGAAAACCGTACAATGGGTAATACCAAACATTTACTAGGAATCATTTATAATTTACTAGTGAAGGATGATTCAAAATCTGAACAAGTCAAAAGTTGTATGATTAAATGGGTGTAGAACAGTAATAGAGAAAAAGTGGGAGTTTTGATGGAAGAAGAATATCAAATTTACTCCAAACATTACACTTAGACATAATTTCTGTAAGAAGCTTTACCACTGGTGTATTATTCTAGTCTTGATTGCTAAAATGAATAATTCTTTTTCTAAAAACTGCTGGAAATGTAATGAACAGATTAGATCATTCTTTTACATGTGGTGGCAATATTTTAAAACTCAACAATTCTGGAAAATGGTTTATAGTAGAATGGAACAATTTTTGAAAGGTGTAATTCCATTCAACCTGGTATATTTTTATTACATTTCACTAAACTATATATCCTTTCAAAATATCCTGAACTAGCATTGTATATGTGAACAGCTGCATGGATCCTATATGTTTTTATTGAAAAAGATGGCTAAATAAATGAGAGTACGCCTTGATGTCCAGAATAACCTCATATTTGAAAAATAAATCTGATGTAGAATTTAATTATAATTGGAAATCATTATTGGATTATAATTTTATTTGTGGATTTGTTCCACATCCAAAATTAGTGTTTTCATATGCGTAAAGTTTCTATATCTTACTCTGTCATATGAATGATTATTGATTATGTGCCATCAGGTCAGTGTTGACTCTTAGCAACCACATACTGTAGAGAGATTTTCTCCAGGACGATTTGTCTCTAATCTAGTCCTTCAGATCTTCCAATGGTGCATCCATGACCACCATAACTGAGCCCATCCACCTTACTTCTGGTCATCCTCTTCGCTTTCCTTCCACCTTTCCCAGCATTAGAGTCTTCTCCAGAGGGCTAGGTCTTTGTGTAGTATGCTCAGAGTATGAATATGCTGTTTAAACTTCCAATATTGACTAATGTGTTTATTGTTCTGTTAGTTATTAATACTGTGTTAACCAGGCATTTTCAGCTTAAAGCTGAATAGGGATATTTGGACTTAGTTTAGAAAATTGATATGATTAAAAAAAGTCCATTATGAAATTTCATCACACTTTAATTTTTTAAGAAAAGAAAAGTAAAAATTCTCAGGCCTTCTCAGCCTTCAGTGAATGCCCATATTGCTCACAGGGATTCAAATTTATTTGTAACTTTGTTTTCCAGATGAAGGCTTCTCATTCAATCCTTTAAAAATAGAGGTTTTTGTCCAGGCGCTATTGCACTTAGCCTCAAAGTCATTCAGTCACTCTTTCAGTGCTCTGGGAAAGTAAGTATTAATTAAGTATCATTAAACTGTTAGTGCTTTCATACTATTGCCATTTTATTTTTATTTGACTTGTAACGTTCTGAAGAAGAGGGCAGAAGCAAGTAAGATTTTATTTAATGACTATGTTTTAAAAATTAGCTATATTATCTACTTCTCTTTAACTTTCAATTTAAAATAGGCTGATTCCTGCATAGTCTCTGATCCCAGATATCTCTGTCTATCCATCTATCCATCCTGATGCATCGTGCATCTCACCATTTCCTCCTAAACTGCAGCATCAACAACAAGTTTATCAGTCCTTTCTCACTTCCTTGTGATCTGCAACAGAAAATTTCCCTGTGTGCATTTAAGCCCCAAGATACAGGCAAACAAGAATGACCAATGGAAGCTCAGGGGAGGGGGGAAGTCAAAAAGCTTGGTGCTTGACAAAGAAGACCCCTTTGTGCATTGGATTGTGGAGTGATAGATGGAGCCTGGAGACGGGCAAAATTAAAAACAA